GAGCTATTTATTTCAAAACACATAATGGTAGAATTCAACTGATTTTTCTGTACATAGGGCAGGTGGAGGGAGTAAATTATGTACCTGACTCGGTCAGAGCGACTAATATATTTATATACGCACTTGACGTTATCACCGAAAAATCAAATATGCCTAAGAAAATTAAAAGAAAAAAAATGTCCTTTGCTTTGTTCTTGGAGTGACCTTGGGGGAGGGACGTTTATTTTTGTGTCTCCTTATGCTGTATTAATTTCAAATGAAAAACTTAAAATAAAAAACTTGACTTTGGTCAAAAAAATTTTACGTTGGGACCAAAAAAATACCAATATAATTATGAGAAAAAGACAGTAAAACACCTTTAAAATTACTAAATGACAAATTAGGGTAAGTGAATTTAAAATATCAATTCAAGCCCCAGATACTATTTTAGAATTTTCAAATATTGTAAAATGACAATATTGTCCTTATTATATGACTACTTTCATATAACTATTGACTACTTTTGTTTTAAAGTTCTGGTTACTATTTTTATATAGCTATTGACTACACAATGGTAATAAATTGTATTACTAGAGTAGTTAGTAGCTTAACAAGATTAGTCATCAGAGTTTAAAAGTAAATGTACTCAATAGCTAAAAAAGAATAGTCAATATATAAAAAAGAGTAGTCACCGGAGCTCATATGACCTGTCATCAGAGTTCTGGTAACATGTCATCAGAGTTTAATAATAAATGTAGTTATTAGCTAAAAAAGAGTAGTCAATACATAAGAAAGAGTAAGGCCGGAAGGCGGAATTGCTGAGGTTGCAGTATTTTAAAAAAAAAGATAAAAAAAATAGTAAAAGACATTTGTGTAATTTTACAAGATTAAAAATTCCAAAAAAATACCTAGGTCTTGAATTGGGATTTTGAGATTGAGATACCTCATTTGTCATTTGGTATTGTTGAGGGCATTTTAGTGTCTTTTTCTCATATTATAGTGCAAATTCTGGTTTTTTTGGGTTTTGGGGGGGGGGTGGGGAGGTTAGATAATCTAACATTCAAGGCCTACCCACTTCAACTGAAGGATTTAATGGGGGTCAAACTAATTCAGATTCAGAACAAACCAAGTTTCAAATTTTTACTAGGAGAGGTATTCACATTTAGTACTCGACAGTGTTTCAAATAGGATTACCTCCAATAGGAGGATATTTATACTTTAACAAAAAAAAAAGATTGAGAAGGGCTGGATATTTTCTGTGGATCGGCTCATTTGTACCAGGCCCAAAAGACTGAAGTATATCTGATCATGGAGTCACCCACCATTTACAATAATTTTCTCAATTTTTTCTTGGGTCCAATACTTGTGTCAACTTTGGGCCCAAATAAACCTGCCCGTATTTTTTTGCCCCTGTATTTTAATTTTGTTTACGTCCTAGTCCTATCCCCACGCAAAAGACTTGAGAGTCGTACCCCAATGTGCACGATAGACTTTTTGTGATGGAGTGGTCATTTTCCTTCAAGACTCGTTCAAAAGTTTAAAGTCATCTATTTTATTTATGACCGTTGAGTCGTCCCCCCAATTTACACGCCAAACTTTGGGGATATTTCTACACAAGTTCCAACTTTTTGTTGCCTCATACATGCATGGAATTTTAAAAAGAATAATATCAGCTAACTCATAAATAATTAATGTGTTTATTTCTTTTGTTTTTTTCCAGCCAAAGATAAATAATGTCTTTACGAAATGACATATTGATCATTTTAACGTACAAGAAGTGAGAATGATTCCTAGGTTCCAAAAGAGTAATGTAATAAATTTGTCTGAAAAAATTAACTGAGATACTAGTTTTAAATATCAATTATTACAAATATTGATGTATCAGCTGTTATAAATCGAGCGTTCAAATTGTATCAGTTACTCTTAATAATCTATAATTATTGGAACTTTCACATTTGCAAGTTTTTGGATCGATATGGAATTAATCTTTCAAGAGTAATTTTTGAATCTAGGCGTATTCTTCCTCGCAATAGTATCAAAATATAGTCCCTTTTAGCCTAATAATTATACAGAGTGGTAGTAACATCAACAACAGTAGTAGTACAGTAAGACTGATTCAAAAAGAAAAGCGCAAACACCAATATAAATAGGGTACCACTGCTTCGCTATTTCTTGTATCAGATAAGTACAATCTGAGTGAAACCAAGCGCTCTTCGATCTTCAAGATGGATTCCAATATGTTTTCCGGTTGTGTGAGAATTCTGAGAGAATCCCATTCCATTCTTCTGAAAAACAGAAGCCTTATGGCCTCCATCTCCTTACTCATCCTCCTCCTTCACTCTTTCCTCGTCTCATGCAAATTCTTCTTCCTTAGGCTTTTAATTAAAGATTTTGCCATGAAAGAAACTCGTCTGTTCTTTACAAGCCCAGAAAGTTCTCAGTACACCAACCTTGTTTCTGCTATGACAGAAGATGTTCACTTATTTGCAGCACTCGCATGGTTCTTCGTTCTTGTCCTCTCCATGGCCTCCTTATTCTCAGCAGCCACTGTAGTTTTAGCATCAGCTATAACTTATGGAAAAGAAAACTTGTCTTTCAGAGATTTGCTGCCAAAAGTATTCAAAGCAAGTAAAAGGCTAATAATCACTTGGTTCTACGTATCTGTCTTTGATCTTGGTTATTTAGTCCTTGCATCCATTTCCATATTTGCCTTGGCTATGAATTTGGCTTCTCCACAACGCCCAACAACCTTTGTTTATGTCATATCAATTCCAGTGTTAGCTTTTCTGATATTCCTCGCAGTGGTTTGGAACATGTCTGTTGTTATTTCAGTACTTGAAGAGAAAAGCGGACTTGAAGCAATTGGGAAGGCTTCGCAGATTTTGAAGGGATTGAAGGGGCAAGGGTTTCTGCTAAATCTTGTTTATACAGTAATTGCTTTGATTGTGCAGATCTGGTGGTTCCTGGAGACAAAGAAGAAAGGAACTTACAACTCACTGTTTCTGGCACTAATTTTGGTGAATGTCACCTGCCTCACTAAGATGTCACAAATGATGGCGTTCACAGTGTTTTATCATATGTGCAAGTTCAACCATGGAGAAGAGGTTGAGTTGCAGGGAAACTTGGAATACACTAAGTTGCCCATTGAACCAATGATTGGAGCAGAAGCACCGTAGGGGGAAGAAAGTTATTATAATTAGTTACCTTAATTATGTATTTTGGTCGTTTGTTTCTTTCAGCGTTGTCTGGACATGCTGTTTCATGTACGTAGATGCTTTGAGCTTTGTCAATCACAATAAGACTATATATGTGTAGTGAGTGACATATATAGATACTTAGGTTGTTTAAGGCGTGGGTCTAATTCTACTAAGCTAGCTTTGGAAAGCAGTGCACAAGGTTCATTATATATTTTTGTTATGGAGAAAACATCTATGCATACACCTAATTAATAATATAATGCATGATTAAGAGAAAGTTGCTTTTAATTAAGAAGTATCCAAAAGGGGTAATGACACAAAGGGACCATGGAAGGAAATTAGTGGTTATAAAGGCGAGCATGAATTTTGAAAATTATAGAGAACGATTTTCAAAGTTTTAAAAAAGAAGTAATTGACTCATAATTTAATTGCAAATGGCAAAAGATGAGTTGTAAATTGCAGAAGCTCAATTCCAAATCTTCGAAAAGATTAGCTGCAAATGAATAAATGGTGAAAGTTTTATTGTAAATTTGAAGTTTAGTTGCAAATAGGAATCGTAGGTTAAGTAACTTAAAATTAATGGCAAATCACTTGTAAAATGTGGAATCTTACAAATCCCCAAAGCTTAATCATAAAAACCAAAAGACTAAATTTTAAAAGCTGCCGTATCAATTGGCTGAATTCTTTAAGTGTTCAGATTTGATTCACAATTTACAACTCATGTGCAACTATAATTTTTCACTATTTGTAACTGATGGGATTTGTGAAGCTTTCACAATTTAAGGAAAACAACTTATTTAGCATTCAAGCAGTTACTATCTTGGTGCAGGAAGATAAAATAGTTTAGGTGCAACTATAATTAATGGTCAAAATAAAATACTGCCTCCAGTTCTTAAAATAAAATTTAGTTTGTAATTCAGCAATTTTCACATTCTTTTCCCTATCTCCCCTTCTCTGGCTCCTTCACATTTGTACGTGTCTTGGGCTTCTCATGGAGTTCCCATCCTGGCCCAGATAAATCCTTTGTGACCAATTGAGTAATTGACCATTACAGTGATATAAATGGGAATACCTTTCTCGACCTTCTTCTGGCTAAGATCAAGTGTAGTGTCTGTTTTTATCAGTTTAATATCTGTTACGTGCCATAGGCCCACATGATATTAAAGTACTCCTCCGGTCCTTATTATAAGACCCAATTTGACTTTTTATTTGGTCCTAATTATAAGACCCAATCCATTTTCTCTCTTATATTTATGTATTTTTTTCCAAGATAATCCTTCTAATAATGATAGTTTTAACCAATATACTTAATTAGCAAGAATATTTTAGGAATAACAACACTTATTTATTATAAATAACCAACTTAACTTACTTCCTTAATCTCCTCAAATAAGTCAATTGGGTCTTATAATTAGGACCGGAGGAGTAATACAAATAAGGATTTATTAACAGCGAGAGTTGAGGCTAGCAGAAGGAACTAATTTTTCAAAATATGACAAATCAATATTCAAATCTTAAGATGCTCATAAATATCTAATAGTGTCTCGAATGAAATTGCTTCTAATAGGAAGATACCTATGTCTAGTAAAAAAGAGTGTATTACTTTTTTTGAGTTACAGAGGCAAGAAATAACAGCTAGAACGAACTTCTAGCAACTAGACGACTTTCTGCGAACAGAATCGGAGATCATCCAGATAACGGGGGCAAGCATTCATCTGGCAGACTAATATAAAGAAAAACAATAATTTTCAAAAGCAGGGAATGACGCCTCCAAATAAAAACAAAAAATAAATGTTACCCGTGTAAGAATATCAGACAGATAGATGAATCACACGAACCGGATTTCTTGACCACTTCTCAGGCAGTCTTTTTCTTAAAGAACGATTCAGTCTATTTAAATATCTCAACGGTAATAACATATTTATTACTTTCGCACCAAGTTTCGGAAAGAATTGAACGTTATTCTATTACTCCCTCCGTTCCTTATTATAAGAGACATTTGATGCTTATGGCATGTTCCTATATATAAGAGACACTTACAACTTGTCTCTACTTTTTTGTGTTGATTTACTATTTTACCCATATTTATTATCTCCAACTCACACTCTCTCTCCCTCCCACTTCTCTTTCTTTTAATAATTTAATTATTCTCTCTCATGCTCTCTCTCCTTATTAATGAGGGCATTTTTGGAAAAAAGTTATACTTTTTACACATTAATTGTTCTTAACTAATTTTAACTGTTTTTTTGATCAACGTACTTCGGTTATTTGTCTCTTATAATAAGGAACGGAGGGAGTAGTATTTATCCACTGTACACATGCAAGAGGCCTTTGACTAGTATACACTAATACTGTGAACGTTATTCTATTAGCATTTATAGGAGTTGTAATCTCCCTCCAGTTTGTAAGTCAGACCTATATTAATTAATGTAATCCAGAATACTATGTCTACACAATTAAACTAATAAAGCCGTACTGATCTAAATTTCTGTCTTGTTTCATTTTCTATAAATTAGCATATCTTCAAGTATTTCCATTCAGACTGATTCAGAAGGGAAAACGCTAAGGCTAATATAAATAGATAACCGTTGCTTGTGTTATTTCCAGCACCAGAGTGTCTAATCCGAGAGATATCAGCACTCTTGTTACAAGATGGAATCCAATTCTCTTTCAAGTTTTGTGAGAATTCTAAGACAGTCTCTTCTTATTTTTCTGAAAAACAGATGCCTTATGGCCTTCTTAGCCTTACTCATCCTTCTTCTCCACTCCTTGCTCTTTTCATGCAATTACTTCTCCATTGAGCCTTTAACGAAAGATCTTGTCATGAAGCAAGCTAAGTTGTTTTTCGCACGCCCAGGTAGCTCTCAGTATACAAACATCGTTACAGCTATGACATCAGATTTTCACAAGTTAGCAGCAGTCGAATGGTTCTTCATTCTTGCCCTCTCCTTCGCCTCCTTATTCTCATCAGCCATTACTGTTTTGGCATCATCAGTAACTTATGCAGAAGGAAAAACATCTTTCAGAGATTTGCTCGCTAGATTATTCAAAACATGCAAAAGGCCAATAGTCACTTGGTTCTTCATATCTCTCTTTAATCTTGGTTATGTTTTCCTAGTATTCTCTATGATTTTTCCTTTCACTGTGAATTTTTCTGTCCCATTATTTCGCCCAACAACCTTTGTTTATGTCATGTTGATTCCGATGTCAGCTTTCCATACGTACCTCGCTGTTGTTTGGAGAATGTCTGTTGTGATTTCAGTGCTTGAAGAGAAAAGTGGACTTGAGGCACTTGGGAAAGCTTGGCAGATTTTGAAGGGATTCAAGGTACAAGGGTTTCTGCTAAATCTTATGTATGACGTACCTGTGTTGATTGGGTATATCTGGTGGTACAAGGAGAGCCCAAAGAAAGGAACTTACTATACGCTGGTTACGGGACTGATTCTGTTAAACGTTGCTTGTGTGATCAAGATGTTGATTGTGGTGGCGTTCACAGTGTTATACCATATGTGCAAGCAGAGCCATGGAGAAGAGGTTGAGTTGCAAGGAAGCTTGAAATACACTAAGGTGTCCGATGATGAACCAACCGTTGGATCAGAAATTCCATAAGGAAGAAACATGTTACAATAATTTCTTCATGTGCTTCATAGATCTCAAGCAGTCACGGAGATTGTTTCCCTCTTCAATATATTGATGAAGCTTATCTCTGTTGTCTATCTGATTAAGCTTGACCTTTCGTATTTTGACGTGTCATTGTTTTCAGACTCAGTTTGGTTTACATGTACTCCAGTTTTACAAGTTATTATAGCTTTGTAAATAGTATGAATTGTTATAATTTTTATATGCACACATATATATTGGTATGTTGATTCTGCAAGTTGGCTAGGAAAGTACGAGAGACGTTAATTCAAGTTTGATATTCTATCACCTTCAAATAATTCAAACTTCAAAGAAATTTCTGTTGATAAAGTATAGATTAGATAGACACGAGCGCATGTATGGAAAAACAGAAACAGAGAAGCCCAGCTCTCATGGAGTGGTGGCACTCCAAATGGCCATCCAATTTTATCTTTTGAATAAAACGGAAACATAGTACTATATCTACTCAACCAATATATATATATATATATATATATATATATCAGCAGAACAATACAATGGCCATTCAAATTTGAGTATCGATTCTCTGACTTGCGGGAAAATGACTGAATGATAAACAGTCAAGAGAATCAAGTCCGTCAAACTAATTCTTTTCGCTAAAACCTACGGGATTGTTGGATTAGTCCCACAAAAATAAAAGCTCATTAATGTCCTGTTGTTGTGAATGATTTGCGATGGTTGCACATGATTTTGTTCCTTATGATCCACAAAGAGCTTTGACTTGTATATGTTAGTGTTGGGAAGGACTTATCAACTCATCATAATCAATTGTCCTTCTATGGACTAAGTCAAGACTCATCATTGCAGTCGCTTTTGAACTCTTCAAAAGTGAGTTTTAAAACCAAAAATTTAGTTTGGGCCTTAATTCCAATATAATAATCTCCAACATTTCTGCAAATCCTAAATTCGCTGTTGCTTCCCAATAATGAGAGCTGTGCTGATCACTTTTCTTTCGCGTTTGGTTATACAATTAAATTAGCATATGTCCCCGAAACTTCCTTCCAAAGTCAAACGCATGAAATATATGACCAGTTCAGAAGGAAAACGCCAAGCTTAGATAATATAAATAGATAGCTATTGTTTGAGCTCTTTCCTGTGCCATATAGTTCAATCTGAGGTATCAAAAACAATCATCTAAAGATGGAATCCAATTCACTTTCAAGCTTTGTGGGAATTCTAAGGGAATCCCTTCTCATTTTCCTGAAAAACAAACGCCTTATGGTCTCCATAGCCTTGCTCATCCTTCTTCTCCAATCCTTCCTCGTCTTGTGCAATTTCTTCTCCATTATGCCTTTGACGCAAGATTTTCTCATGAAGCAAACTGAACTTTTATTCGCAAGTCCAGGTAGCTCTCAGTATACCGACATCGTTGCCTCTATGACATCGTATTTTCGCAAATTTGCAGGACTTGAATGGTTCTTCATTCTTGCTCTATTCATGGCTTCTGTATTCTCATCAGCCATTACTATTTTGGCTTCAGCTGTAACTTATGCAGAAGCAAACTTATCTTTCAGAGATTTGCTATCAAGAGTATTCAAATCTTGCAAAAGGCCAATAACCACTTGGTTCTACATATCTCTCTTCAATCTTGGTTACATTTTCCTTGAACTGTCTTTCATTCTTCCCTTCTCTGTGAATTTTTCTTCTCCATTATTTCGCCCAACAACCTTTGCCTATGTCCTGCTGATTCCCGTATCAGCTTTCCAAATGTACCTCTCAGTTTTCTGGAAAATGTCTCTTGTCATTTCTGTACTTGAAGAAAAAGTGGTCTTGAAGCATTTGGGAAGGCTTCGCAGATATTGAAGGGATTGAAGTTACAAGGGTTTCTGCTAAATCTTGTTTATGGAGTACCTGGTTTGATTGTGTATATATGGTGGTCCATGAAGAACACACAGAATGGAACTCACATTAATCCGCTTTTAATGGGATTAATTTTGTTAAACGTTGGTTGTCTGATTAAAATGCTACTGGACATGGGGTTCACAGTGTTATACCATAAGTGCAAGCTGAGACAGGAAGAGGAGGTTGAATTGAAAGGAAGCTTGGAATACACTAAGGTGGCGTCAATTGAACCAACAATGGTTGGGGCAGCAATACCATGAGGAAGAAAAGTTGTTAAAATTTCTTATATGTATTATTTGATCATTTATTTCTGTTTCCAATTGAAGTCTAGTGTTATTTATATTTGCAAATGCTTTTGAGCTTTTTGCAATTACTCGTTGAAAATAAGATTCTGTAAGAGGATTAGCGTTCATCATATGCTTCGTATGTTTTAAATCTGATTTGGTTTGAAGAATTTTCCTTGAGCGTAGATTAGAGAGGTACGCAAACACTTTTACTAATGGTTGGTCGCCATCCAAAATCAAGTATGGATACTTTGACCTGAACAAAATGACTAAATGAACTTGGTCCATCATCTGACCAATTGAAAGAAGGGTGTTAAATGAAACGATGTCGTGGAAGTAGGAGCACTTAGCAAGTAAAATGACCGGTCTGCTCACAACTCGCACCCCACACACTGTTGCAAGCACAAGTTTAAAATGAGAGTTTAATTCTAGAAGACTAGCACGACGAGAGAGAGACCCCATATGTGGGACTCATAACAAATCCCTTGCGGCCTCCATCACCTTGCTCATCCTCCTCCTCCACTCTTTCCTCTTCACATGCAAATTCTTCTCCATTAAGGTTTTCCTGGAAGAACTTGTCAAGGATTAAACCAGGGTTTAGGTAGCCCTCTGCATGGCCTCCTTATGCTCATCAACCGTTACTGTTTTAACATCAGCTGCAACTTTATGGAGTATGAAACTTGTCTTTTAGATATTTTCTGTCAAATGCAGTCAGGTCTTGTCAAAGGCTATTTATTACAGAAATTTGGTTAAAAGTCCTTGTTTGAAAATTTAATTGGCTAAATGGACTTAAATTTGAGCAATTGGAACTATAATCCGTGAGTATAACTTTCTTCCACTGTATGCAACATATTATCAATAATATACAACAATAATCAATACAAAAATCATTTGCACATAGCAGAAGATATGTTACACACAACGAAAAATAATTACACTCATAGATTATAATTACATTTGTTTAAATTTAAGTCTTTTTAGCTAATTAAGTTTTCAAACATGATTTTTTTTTTTACCAAATTTCCCTATTTATTACTTGTTTCTATGTATCTCTTTTAGACCCTGGTTATTTTTTCCTAGCATTCCTTTCTATTTTCCCCTTTAAGAATTTTGCTTCTCCATTTCGCCCAACAACATTTCTCCAAGCGACAATGTTTCTGGTCATAGCTTTTCATATGTACCTAGTAGTTGCTTCGATTATGTTTCTAGTTATTTCAGTATTTGAAGAGAAAAGTGGACCTGAGGAGGCAATTGGGAAAGCTTCACAGATTCTGAAGCGACTGAAGTTACAAGAGTTTCTGGTAAATCTTATGTATGGAGTTTCCAATTGGATTATGTCTATCTATTGGTTCAAGGCGATAAAAAGGAAAGGAGCTTACTGTTTGCTGTCTTCAGTTTCAATTTACATGAATGTCATATGTGATTAAGATGTCACTCAGCCATGATCCCAGAATTTATTATGGGCCAAGAGAAAATATGGCTTGGCCATCTGGGGAAGGAATAGGCGAAGAAAAATAGAAAGGTACAAGTCATTAGAAGTGAAGGAGGGTTATACTGGGAGGGGCTACGGCGTCTTCTGGTTTTTTTTCATTGGTTCTAGATTTGCGACTGTTATGCACACACCGCACCCACATGCATCTGTGTGTGTGTGTGTGTGTATCAGCTTCAGCTTCATGAATTTCAATAGAGAATTACAGTTAGCGTCATTCACCGGCTTAGCCCTCCTATTTTTAATCTGTTCTCATTATACTACTTCCACATTTGCACTACAAACTAGATCTTACATTTAGGACCTAAAATAGTATTAAGTGTGTTCATTACACAATCATGGTGGCTTATGCAGTATTTTATCATAAACGCAAGTAGTCATGGGAAAGAGGTTAAATTGCAATGGAATCTTTGAATACATTGAGGCATCCAAAGAACCAATGATTAAAACATAAATACCATAAGGAAGAAGATTGTTATAACAATTTCTTCATGTATTTGATCTTTTATTTCTTTCACTGCATAAACAATTTCTTCTGTTTCCACTTTTGCACTCTAATTTCTTCATGGCCCCGAGTTCTTAATTTTTTTTTCTTAGGATTACATAGATACTATCTCTAGTTCTGAGCACTACACACAAAATCTTAAATTTAGAACCAAAAGGAGTTTTTTTTTTTTTTCACCTCTCCAAAATTTATATGAATTTTGTATTATAGATTTCTTTTGATTAATCTCGGCTTCCGTCATTCTGAATCCTGGCAGGAAGAAGCTCCTCAGTTTCAAAGCAAACTACTCTAAATGATGGTATGGTATAGTTGAAAGAGAATAATAACATACAGAATGTACAATTCAAATACGAAATGGAATGATCCTAAGATGAGAAAATCAAGCGTCATCACCATCATCACTTCCAGCAATATGAGCTTCTTGAGCTTGCAAGTATCTGCTGCCATCAGGGCCAACAACCTTAAACCTACTCAAGAACAGATCATGTCACCAAAAGGGTGTATTAATGAACCACCAAAAAGTAAAGGTCAAGTACTGAAATGGCATAGTAAACCTCCACTAAAAATAACAATCTAGCATCAAAGGGGTTAGCTCAGTTGATAAACAAAGAAGGTATATCCATACTAATCTAGGTTCAATTCCTTCAAAAAGCATGTTATGGCATATCCATACAATTCTAAATGCATCAGACTCAGGATAGAGTATACTCTTAAGATTGCCCGAAAAGAAGATTTGAAGTCAAGGAATGTACGGGACTTCAGGGGTATACCCAAAAAGTATAACAGACTGGACTGGTTACCTTTCAAGAATGAATTTTCCTTCTTTGTACTTTTCACTTTTCTCATGTGCAGCCTCCTAAATGAACAAAAGCGGAATAGGCATTTAGGAACACTTCACAATAACAACAGCATGATAAGAAAACAAGTAAATCACAGATAATGAGCTCTTAGAGATGGTCCTCACATATTTCCATCCAACAATGGACCCACATGTGACACAGAATATGTCAACAACAGTATGCAATCCTGTTATCATCATCCGCTCTTCTTTCTCTCCAACTGTGACATTCACACTGCCATAAAGAAGAGAAAACAGGATTTCAAAAAAGTCCCCATAAGTTCACCCTGACATTATGCCAGAAGTCCAGAACTTGAACTTTTTCAATCAGCAAGAATTCCACATCAGCACATTCAAGATGAACTGATGAAGCATGTACCAAGTTATTGGGTTCCTCTCAAGATATTGCAAATTCTAGAAATTTTAATATTATAAACATAGCAGCATAAACAGAATCTAGTATCTCCATTCCCAACTTCTAATGCTTCTCTCAACTCGAAATAACACTTACACTTCATTAAATAGGTAAGCCTTCCCATGCCTGCAATGGAAAGACTTGTGAAAGGAGGAAAAAAAGAAAAAAAACAGAGTTAGATTGCACAGATGATTCCATTTTCTGGATGCAAGAAATTTGTGAAATGCACAGTACAAATTAATGATTCAGAGTGCATATAGGAAATCATGAAAAGGAAGATAAAATCAACTACGATGTAAGTTTCCCAAATGCTTCTCTTCTTTTTAAACAAGTCACTAGAGGAAAAGGCTGAGTCAAAAAGAAGTTCTGTAGACAAAATATGTATATAACAAATGCCAACTCAATTGCTTCCAAAGATCCCCATTTGACATAGCATTTTTCAATTAAAAAATCCCACAACTTCACCATTGAAAAAATTGGCATGCTTTGATGGAGATATAATCAAAATTACCCAAATTCTGCCATACACGAAGACTGATTGAAGAATTGTATCATTAATATTATGTGCTGCACCAATTAGATTTCTCCTCCATAAACAAGTAAAATCGTCTCATCATAGGATTACAAGAGTCATCTATGCAATGAACTTCTTTAGATAACAAAAGTTGCATTCATTCAAACACCATTTCAAACAAGAATAACAATTATCACTTCAAGACACAGTGTACAAAGTGAGACTTTTCCACTCTTTCCAAAATAAGCGTGATATAGCACAAAGAAAAGATCCTCCTACAGTCAAAGAATCGCATGACAACAAAAGAATATATCAACACAACAAGATGAAGCATTGGCACGAGAAATGACATTGAAGAGTTGTATCTCATATGTCTTCAATATTTTTTTTTTTAAGTGGTTTAAAGAGTAATGATTAGATTCCTAAAAGGGCAGTTCAGTATATCAGCCTGAGTGTTTATGTAAAAGTTTAAAACACATCAAGACCCAGAGATAGGCACAGATACGGCTCCTCCCCATACTTGCAGTGCTTCAAAGACAACACAATATGATTTAAGGGATAAGAATATATATATCTGATAATGTTTGATTTTTCGATCAATTGATTTCCTCATATCTTGTCACCCCTAAAATTATACTCCTTCCCTCCCTCTCAGGTTCATTGTGTGCCCTCTATCATACCAGTAATGGGACTTCCTAGGTAGCTTATTAGCTTATATCTATTCTAAAGAGAACCCAGAAATGTCCATAAGAAAACTGCACAATCAAAATCCAGAAAGTAAAATTCAAGTTTCAGGGAAGAGAAATGAAACCTTGGAAATGATATCATCAAGAAGAGCAAGATGCGTACGGCAGTACTTGCAGCTATATATGCTTCCTTCCAGATTGACTAAGAACAACCTTCCCATATCCCCTGTCACTCCAATCTATCACCTTTGAAGCCCCAAGAAATAATGAATCGAATTTCCCTTCACGAAACGACCAAGGAGAAAAAAAAGATATCAAATATATGTAAATCACAAGCCGAAAAGAAAAATGAGAAATATTAACCTCTTAGAACCAGAAAAGCCAAATCAAAATAATAGATAAAATCAATCTAACAGAGGAGACATCAGGCAATGCAATTCAAAGCACGTGGCCGAACTAACAAGGAACAACAATTAGGAAAAATCTTAGATATACATATGGCGACGTAAACAATACAGATTGAGGGTGAGAATCATGAACGAAGACAGCGAAGGAATTCATTGAATCGTTTACCAGGAAAAAGTGCAAAGGCATTCGAATCCTAACACTCGGTAGTGGGATGGTCACTGAAATTTGGGCTTCGTGAATGACGGGCGGAAGATGACGCTCGTTATGCTAACTGTTTAGATTCTTTTGCAAAGTGGTGCCTACATTTATCGTTATTGATGGTTTGTTTTTATTTAATTTAAAAAAACTATGCTTTAAATAAAAATATAATAAGTACATTATTTTGAGAGGTGTAATTTTCTGGTTAGATTATTGGGAGAATTTTTAAGAGATCTTAAAAAAAATTAATTACTAAAAAGTTCAAATGATAAGCAACCAATCTAAATTAGTTGTCATTCTTTATTCTGGAACTTATTATTGCTTACTCTTCACTTGTCAATGGATTTTAAGGTAATTAAATCCTTTTCTTGAAACTTGATTAAAATTCTCCCTAGATTCTATGTACATCATGTTATTCAATGGGGAAAAAATCACATTTTTCAAATTTTAATTCAATTAAAAAATTAGCAGTATATATAAGTGATTGCATATAACTCTTACTATGGCCCAATCTGGATTAGTTTATTTTATAATTTCTCGAGGGGTTAACCAGGATATCATGTGCATGTGTTAAAAAAAAAAAAAAAAGTGATTACATCTATGAATCTAATATTGATCAAATAAATTTTCTTCTTAATTATTGAATTAAAAAGGGAGAACTACTAAAAAGTCTTAAGAAAAAAATTTAATTACTAAAAAATTTCAATAACAAATAACCAGTTTGAACTTATTATTATTTCCTCATTTGAAAATTATCATTATTGATTCTTCACTTGTTGATGAATTTTAGGTAATTAAATCGCATACTTCAGATATGATTGTAATTCTCCCAATTAAAAAAAAAAAAAAAGCTAAAAATTGGTAGGTGCGCGTCTACTCGCACATATGCATATTTGATGAGCAAACTTTCCTCCTGCCATGAGTGTATATGTGAGGAAATGCGAAA